GCTGGGAATCTTCACTGATTTACGTAAAGCTTTTGATACAGTTGACCATGATTTGTTGCACATTACATTAACCCTTTCAGGGTCCAAGGCCCAAATCTGGAGTCACGCACCAGTGTCCAAGAATTTAAAAAAAAAAAATTTGTTATTTTTTCTTATGAAATCGTAGAGAATCTTTTTGTGAAGGTAATAAAACAAAAAGTACGAAATTTGGTGGAAAATTGACGAAATTATGCTCTCGCGAATTTTGATGTGTCAGCGATATTTACGAATCGGCGATTTTGCCGACTTTGACTCCCATTTTAGGTCAATTACATTATTCCAATCAACCAAATTCTTAGCTATTTCACTAGTATTACTTCTATTCTATCGATTGAGCACAAGAAATCGCCAAGTCAACTGTTTCAACTACAAAATAAAGTGATCGGAAATTGTTAATTTGGCCAATTTAACACAAAGTTCAAAATATTCCAATTTCAAAATAGGGTCCAGAATGAACAATGTAGGCATTCCTGGCACTAAACTAACATTTCCTCTGTTCATTAGTTATGTTTTGAGGCTTTACAAATAAATTCCATTTTGATTTTTTATTCACATAATGAATTTTTATTCACACCAAAAAATAGAAGATTTACTGTTATGCAATACTGTAATAATTGTATAAATATCATCACCATATTTGTGAATGTATATTAGACCCACCAGCTGACGTGTATTAGACGTGTGAGGTCGTTTGTTTACTCTTGAATATCGGCAAAAATTTAACATTTCTGCTACTTTGAGCTCAGTTTCAAGCCATTTCCAGTGCTAAAACCAATCAAAATCATCTCTATTTCTGTAATATGTCTTCCATTCTATCAAATGAGACCAAGAAATCGCAAATACAACTATAAAAAACATACGAAAAAACACTGCAAAGTTGCTGTTTTAATCGAAAAATCATGATTTCATTTTTTTTCTCTCATTATACACAGTGTGCTGCAGGATCTGTTTTATGTGGTGCACACATACCACATAGATGTATTCTCTCATATCTAGGCCCAAATGTACCACTCACAGTTTATCAGAGTGAGCTGAGCTCATGGCGTAGATCTACGGTTTGGACCCTGAACGTAAAGCCGTAGATCTACGGGACGGACCCTGAAAGGGTTAACACACTATGGTATAAGAGGGCACTCCCTCAACTACCTAAAGTCATAACTTAGTAACAGAAGCCAATACGTGTACACAAATGGAGCTAACTCTTCCACTCAACCAATCACAGTCGGTGTCCCACGAGGAAGTGTCCTTGGCCCACTCCTCTTTCTCATTTACATCAATGATTTACTGAATTCATCACAGCTACTCAAACCCATATTATTTGCAGACGACACAACATACGTCTTCTCTCACCCAAACCCAGTCATACTGGTTAACACTGTTAATGCTGAATTGCAGAAAATATCAACCTGGATGATGACAAACAAGCTTACCCTCAATACTGACAAAACCTATTTCATTCAGTTTGGAAATAAAGCTACAAATGTTCCGCTTAACATAACGCTAAACGGATCACCCATCACAAGACTCGCAGAGGAAAAATTCCTAGGAATCCACCTTGACAGCAGCCTCAAATTCCAGACACACATACAACAAATTTCTAAGAAAATCTTTAAGATAGTGGCATACTATCAAAGATACAGTACTATGTTCCACAATCAGCTCTCCTTGTACTGTATTACTCACTCATATACCCTTATCTCACACATGGAATTTGTGCATGGGGATCAACAACATTAAATCACCTAAGACCACTAATAACCCAGCAAAAGGATGCAGTCTGAATGATAACAAATTCCCACTCCTGACAACATATTCCACCAATATTCAGAAGCCTAAAACTGCTCACCGTTAAGAACATCCATACTTATTCATGTGCCTACTACATACATAGAACACTACACTCAAACATAAACCCTCCACTCAAACTTCTCCTCACCAACGTTAACAGGACACACAACCACAACACAAGACACAGATCTCTTTTTGATGTACCCTGTGTCCATATCTCACTGTGTAAAAACTATGCACATAAAGGGCCCCAAAATTTGGAATTCATTACCAGTAAATACTAAAGTAACCAGGTCTGTACACCAGTTTAAGGCTCTTCTCAAAGACCACCTAATCACCCTAAAGTAATACTCAATGCTCAATATTTAACTTTACCAAAAAATTATCCAAATCTTAAAATTCAAATCTAGATGCCCAAAGTTCATACATTATTAATCCTACTTTGTAGTATAAATACCTACCCAAAACAATCACTGCCTTACACCCAATTGTAGCATTCTCATACCGTCAACTACTTTCAACAACTCACAATGTTATATTCCTATAATATAATTTCAATACTCATTAATGAAACTATTGTAATTAGAATAAGACTACTGTCTGCTATAAACAAAGATGATGTATAACTTAAAAAACTATAATCAATTTCTTTAGTATTAAGTAGTAAGTAAGCCATTAAATTAAGTTTGCCCATAATGGCTATGCATGATAGTGGCTCTCTTTACACTGTGCCCCATTATTGTAATTTCATAATCTCAATGTAACCTTGCAAAGAAATAAAGTTTGTTTGTTTGTTGTTTAAACTGTTGCATAAATACAAATATAAAGTCTGAAATACATACTGAGTCTGCTTGGGTAGAATTTTCAGAGAGGAATGAAAAATTGATTTTAGGCGTGATATTCTGTCCCCCAAACTTGAATAGAGACCAAGGAAGACTACTGTGGGAGGAAACTGTTAGGGCCACAAGGCATGATAATGTTGTAATTCTAGGGAACTTTAACTTTAGTCAGATTGATTAGAATTTTTTGACTGGGAATTTAGAATATAATGACTTTTTAGAAGTAGCCCAGGATTGTTTTTTGAAGCAGTCTGTGACAGAACCTACAAGGGGAAATAACCTGCTTGACTTGGTCCTGGCAAACAGGGAATCCCTTATTAATAATTTAGAAATTTCAGAGAAACTTGGCACAAGCGACCACAAATCAATTACCTTTAGCACTGAATGGAAGTATGATAGTAGGGATAACTCAGTAACAGTCCCAGATTTTTGCTTAGCAGATTACAATGGGCTTAGAGAACATTTATCATCTGTGGACTGGGGAAACGAAGAGAGCTATCAATATGACAGTTTTCTGAACACTATACATGCTGCCCAAAGAACATTTATCCCATATAAAGAAATTAGATCGAACAGAAATAACCCAAAAAGGATGAATAACAGACTCAAATATCTTTTAGGGCAGAAGAAAGGAATTTATAGGCATATCAAAAGAGGAGAGGGTCATCTTATGAATCAGTATATTGACATTAAGAGGGATGTTAAAAAGGGTATAAGAAAAGCTCAACGGGACTACGAAATTAAAGTTGCTAGGGATTCAAAAACTAACCCAAAAAGTTTTTCCAGGTGTACAGAACAAAAATTAGAGATAAGATAGGTCCCCTTAAAAATAACTATGGATTTCTTACTGACAAAGAGAATGAAATGTGCTCTGTTTTTAATAATTATTTTCTCTCGGTTTTCACTCAGGAAGACACTAATATCCCAATAATTAAGTTTTTTAGTGGGCCTGAAGAAGATAAGTCATGTAATATCACAGTCACTAGCAAAATGGTTATCAAACAGATAGATTGTTTGAAGCAAAATAAATCGCCCGGTCCTGATGAGCTTTTTTTCAAGGGTTCTTAAGGAATGCAAAATGGAACTCTGTGAACCTTTAACTAATATTTTTAATTTATCTCTTCAAACAGGTGTAGTGTCTGATATGTGGAAGATGGCTAATGTAAGTCCTATTTTTAAAGCAGGGGACAAGTCGTTACTGTCAAATCACCGCAAGAGTAATATCAGAGGGGCCTGGAGCAATGACTGATGAACAAAGAAAATGTTATTATAGAGCCAGGAATGTCTGCATTGTTCATTCTGGAGCTTATTTTGAAATTGTCATATTTTTTAATTTTCGTTAAACTGGCCAAATTGCAAATTTCTGACCATGTTATTGGGTAGTTGAAATCGGTAAATGGTCAGTTTTTTGTACTCAATCGATAGAAAAAATGGAGTTCTAAAGAAATACCTATGAGTTTGGTCGACTGGAACAATGGAATTAGCTGAAAATAGGGCTCAAAGTGGGTGAAATAGCCGATTTGTAAATATCGCCGAGGTCGCTAACTTCGCGAGAGCGTAATTCCATTAGTTTTCCATCAAATTTCGTTTTTTTGGTGTCATTACAATCAGGAAAAGATTCTCTATCATTTCATAAGAAAAAATAATAATTTTTTTTTTTTGAAATTTTGCGACACCAGGAGACACCTCAGGATTGGGGGTTGAGACAGTCAAGGGGTTAAATCTGTAGGGATAGGAAGGCGGGGTAGGGGTCGTCCTTGAAAATGTTGGAAGGAAGGGGTAAGGGAGGTTTTGTGGGCAAGGGGCTTGGACTTCCAGCAGGCGTGCATGAGTGTGTTCGATAGGAGTGAATGGAGACAAATGGTATTTGGGACCTGATGATCTGTTGGAGTGTGAGCAGGGTAATATTTAGTGAAGGGATTCAGGGAAACCGGTTATTTTTATATAGCCGGACTTGAGTCCTGGAAATGGGAAGTACAATGCCTGCACTCTGGATATTAGCAGTTTGGAGGGATATGTTGTGTATCTTTATACGTATATGCTTCTAAACTGTTGTCTTCTGAGCACCTCTGCAAAAACAGTGATTATGTGTGAGTGAGGTGAAAGTGTTGAATGATGATGAAAGTATTTTACTTTTGGGGATTTTCTTTCTTTTTGGGTGACCCTACCTCGATGGGAGACGGCTGACTTGTTAAAAAAAAAAAAAAAATCAGTAGATACTCTGGTAACAAGTGCAACTAACAGCCTACCATTTTCCTTAAAACTTAAAGTATCATGCATGTACAGTAATGTGTAATGCTATTATTGCTGCTGCACCAAAGAATATAAACTAACCTAACAGTACTGTTGGTAGTGCAAGATATCCCCAGATCAACAGTAGCTTCTAAAATTTGCTCGACAGCTTTTTCAGCATCAGCTACCCACATTTCAGCAACCTGAAAAGCATTACTGGTAAGTATAAAATTTCTAGGAAAGGCTCACAAAATTTATTTTGTCCTTTCTGTTTTACTGTAAATCAAAAGCAAGATTTTTGACAATAAACATTTCTTATCCACTACATGGTTATTATCCTGTCCACAGAACTCATCTCGGTGTTAAAAGTTTTTTTTTGGATACAACATATGTACACTGCCTAGGTATAGTAATGTCAATTTCTTTCACTGCACTAATGGAAGTGGAATGAAGCTTCAACAAGAGTGTAAATCGACATAGTCACTGCATGTAACTGTATTTATGAACAAAGGTAAGATCTTTCAGAGATGTTTTTATTAAGCTAATGTATTAGTATGCCAGTCATCAAGTCATCAATTTTTTGTGAAATATGCTTTGGTAAATAAGTTAATTTAGCTAATAACTTTTTTTTTTAACACAGCCGATTCCCACCAAGGCAGGGTGGCCTGAAAAAAAAAACTTTCATCATCATTCACTCCATCACTGTCTTGCCAGAGGGGTGCTATACACTACAGTTATAAAACTGCAACATTAACACCCCTCCTTCAGAGTGCAGACACTGTACTTCCCATCTCCAGGACTCAAGTCCGGCCTGCCGGTTTCCCTGAATTCCTTCATAAATGTTACTTTTCTCACACTCCAACAGCACGTCAAGTATTAAAAATCATTTGTCTCCATTCACTCCTATCAAATACGCTCCAAGCCCCCTCACACACAAAACCTCCTTTACCCCCTCCCTTCAACCCTTCCTAGGCTGACCCCTACCCCGCCTTCCCTCCACTGCAGATTTATACACTCTCGAAGTCATTCTGTTTTGTTCCATTCTCTCTACATGTCCGAACCACCTCAACAACCCCTCCTCAGCCCTCTGGATAATAGTTTTGGTAATCCCACACCTTCTCCTAATTTCCAAACTATGAATTCTCTGCATTATATTCACACCACACATTGTTCTCAGACATGACATCTCCACTGCCTCCAGCCTTCTCCTTGTTGAAACATCATCACCCATGCTTCACACCCATACAAGAGTGTTGGTACAACTATACTCTCATACATTCCCCTCTTTGCTTTCATGAGAGTTTCAATCATTATGACAATTAGTAAAGATATATATTGTGAAACACATTTCAACAATAATGCAGGGTTGTCCAAATAAGAACAACACTTATCATCAGCTGAACCTTTGGTGGAGGCAAATTACACATGGAAAAAGGCTTTTAATATGAAAGATGAAGGCTATTATCTGCTGTCTTTCAGTATATCAATATAGCATTGACAAAAATGAAATATACCATAAACTTATAAGTACTGTATTAGTATACCTCAGAGTACAGAAGAAAATGTATAGCAACAAGTTTGAGTGTCTCTTTATCTTGAGGGTATCTGGAGTGGAGGTAATGCACAAGGGCTCGGTCAAGTCCTGTTTCTTTTCCTCGAAGGTCTGAGCCACGACCCAGTAAATGCTCAAATTGATCGTGTTCTCTTAAGGCATCAATAATATATGACATCTCACTATATCGTCCCACCCCAATCAGAAGGCGCACCTGAAAGAAGTAAAAATATACAGTATTGTACATGTATTTGCTTCTGTCAATAAAAACGGTTATCAAATTAAAATAATTTCATCAAAAGCTTGGTTAATTATAAATTTTACCTTATTTTATAACTGCATGAATTACAAACCATCAGAAATCTCTCCTTATGGTGATTTGTATACCAATTTATATTATGTATGGTATTGTAATTAACCCTTTGACTGTTTTGGTCGTATATATACGTCTTACGAGCCAGTGTTTCAGACGTATATATACTCAATAATTCTAGCGGCTTCAAATCAATCGGAAGAAAGCTGGTAGGCCCACATGTGAGAGAATGGGTCTGTGTGGTCAGTGTGCACCACATAAAAAAAATCCTGCAGCACACAGTGCGTAATGAGAAAAAATAAACTCTGATCGGTTTTTTGCATTAAAACGCCGACTTTGAGGTGTATTTTCGTATAGTATTTATCGATGTATTTGCGTTTTCATGGTCTTAGGTGATAAAATGGAAAACATATTACAGAAATAGAGATGATTTTCATTACTTTGACGATGAAAACGACCTTGAAACTGAGCTCAAAGTAGCGGAAATGTTCGATTTTTACCAATGTTCAGGAGTAAACAAATCACACCACACGTCCAATACACGTCAACTGGGGAGTCTAATATTCTTTCACTAGTGCTCTGATATTATTTATACCATTTTTACAATAATGCAGTAGTCTGCATAACAGTAAATTTTGTATTTTTTTGTATGAATAAAAAATCAAAATAGAAAGCAATAATAATATAAGATGGGCCTAGAGATGTGACTAATGAACAGAGGATATGCTATTTTAGTGCCAAGAATGTCTACCTTGTTTATTCTGGACCCTATTTTGAAATTGGCATCTTTTTTATTTTGTGTGAAATTGGCCAAATTGCCAATTTCTGACCACAATATTGGGTAGTCCAAATTGGTAAATGGGAAGTTTCTTGTACTCAGCTGATAGATAAAATGTTGTTCTAAAGAAATAGCTATGAGTTTGGTCAACTGGAACAACGGAATTGGCTGAAAACAGGGCTCAAAGTCGGCGAAATTGCCGATACGCATATGTCGCCGAGACCGCTAACTTCGCGGGAGCGTAATTCCATGAGTTTTCGACCAAATTTCGAACTTTTGGTGCCATTACCATCGGGAAAAGATTCTCTATCATTTCATAAGAAAAAATAATTTTTTTTTTTCAAAAATTTAGCGACAGAATGACAGTTTCAGAAAGGGGCCTGAAACAGTCAAAGGGTTAAATAATAGGCTAGTACCACCAATGCTAGACACATGACATTATTATACCATACACCATTTATTTATCTTATGTATCCATTCCCACTTTAACGGCTTTCTTTTTCTTTCTAGTAGACTATACTGGAAAAGGGGTTACTAGCCCATTGCTCCTGGCATTTAGTTGACTTTAACAACATGCATGGTTTACGGAGGAAAGATTCTTATTCCACTTCCCCATAGATATGAAAGGAAAAGTAATAAGAACAAGAACTATTAAGATAAAATCAAAGAAAACTCAGATGAGTGTGTACATAAACACGTACATGCATGTGTAGTGTGACCTAAGTGTAAGCAGAAGTAGCAAGATGTACCTGAAATCTTCATTTTTTTTTTTAACAAACCAGCCGTATCCCACCAAGGCAGGGTGGCCCAAAAAGAAAAACGAAAGTTTCTCTTTTTAAATTTAGTAATTTATACAAGAGAAGGGGTTATTAACCCCTTGCTCCCGGCATTTTAGTCGCCTCTTACAATACACATGCCTTACAGAGAAAGAATTCTGTTCCACTTCCCCATGGAGATAAGAGGAAATAAACAAGTACAAGAACTAGAAAGAAAATAGCAGAAAACCCAGAGGGGTGTGTATGTATATGCTTGTACATGTATGTGTAGTGTGACCTAAGTGTAAGTAGAAGTAGCAAGACGTACCTGAAATCTTGCATGTTTATGAGACAGAAAAAAGACACCAGCAATCCTACCATCATGTAAAACAAATACAGGCTTCCATTTTACACTCACCTGGCAGTACAGTAGTACCTCCCTGGGCAGTTGCTGTCTACCAACCTACTACTTTTTTTTTTTTAAGTATCCATTCCTAGGTTGGTAGACAGCAACCACCCAGGGAGGTAGTACCATCCTGCCAAGTGAGTGTAAAACGAAAGCCTGTAATTGTTTTACATGATGGCAGGATTGCTGGTGTCTTTCTTCTGTTCCATAAACATGCAAGACTTCAGGTATGTCTTGCTACTTCTACTTACACTTAGGTCACACTACACATGCATGTATAGGGTTATAACTTTTTTACGTAATATTCCTGTACCTTAATCAGATGAACTTTTGCCTAAAGTCAAATAAATGACCTCTCATTTCAATATCTTTTCAGAAAATGTCATCCCTAAGTGAAAAAAATGAGTAACGAAAACAAGTAACTTGAATGCATATTGCATGCAATATTAATAATAAATAAAACAGCTTACAGCATCATTGTTGTCATGTTTGTACATATACATGTATTACTACTTACTGCTTAGAATAAACCGAAGTTGCAGCTTGTTTTTGTTTCTGCAGGCAGCATACAGTTCCTGCATAACTTCGCTTGCATGTTCAGCACACTGATTACTTCTTGGTATATTGAGTGTGGATGGCTCCTGCTTCCAGTGATTTTTCAATGAGTTCAATGCTTTTTTGTAAGGCTTCAATATTTCTGACAAATTCTTTAAGTCATTTTCATCGTACATATGATCAGTAAACCAATAATCTACCTGGGTATATGAAATGAGTCTGCATATCTTCTCCAAAGTTGTGCTCCCTAAGTCTGACAGACTTAGGGAGCACAAAAATAGTGTTTGGCTTGCCAACACTAACAATGCTCTTTTCTGTCACGTCAGAGATCACAGCCATCCTATTGACTGGTCTTCTGCTAAAACTGTCTTCCCTACTTCCAACTTTAACAGTCACCATCTGGTTGAATCCTCCCTAATACACAATTTTCCTTGTATGAATCTTAGTCCTGATTTTGTCTCTGTAGATGCCTTCCTCTCCCACTACATTGTAAAATGCTCCAAACTTCAGAACACTCGTGACCTAACCTGATTCCTCCTTTTTCTTCTTCTCCCTCTTCCCCTTTTCCTCTTTCCTTTTTCTCCTTTGGGTTGTCTTTCTTCTGCCCTGTGTATTTGTTCCTTTTATTTATTTATTTGTTTTCCCCCACCTTGGTGTTCTTGCTCTTACCCTCTGTGGGCACCTAGCTCCCTTGCAGTGCTCCTCTTTCTTAGTATTTGACTGGCCCCTCCTACTCTTACCACCACCCCACTACTACTTCCTTCCACCTCCACTACTACTACTACTACCACCTCCTGCCTATATATACCCATCCTGCTCTCCTTTTCGTTAGTGTGACTTTGTAAATGGTCCAAGTCGGACCGAAACGTCGTCATAAACTCCTCTCTTCTATGTGCGGGTTATTTGTGTTTTGAGAACTTGTTTTAGCAAAAAGATTTTCATCCATTACCAATGAGACAATGCTAACAACAATAGTAGATGCCAGTACAGTGGACCCCCGCCTTACGATGGCATCGCGTTACGTTAAATCTGCCATATGATACATTTGAACGCAAAAATTTTGCCTCGCCTCACGCTAAAAAACTCGCCTCACGCGATTCGTCCGGGACGCGTCCCACGCGTGGCCTCAGCGCCAGTGTTTACAAGCCAGCCAGTGCGGTTGCATCTACGCATACATTCGGTACATTTCACATTATCCCAGTGTTTTTAGTGCTTGTAACTGCAAAATGTAGAATGACATGGAGAGCATTTAAATCTGTAGAAGGAAGGCAGGGCAGGGGTTGTCCTCAAAAAGGTTGGAAGGAAGGGGTAAGGGAGGTTTTGTGGGCGAGGGCTTGGACTTCCAGCAGGCGTGCATGAGCATGTTCGATAGGAGTGAATGGAGACAAATGGTATTTGGGACCTGATGATCTGTTGGAGTGTGAGCAGGGTAATATTTAGTGAAGGGATTCAGGGAAACCAGTTATTTTTATATAGCTGGACTTGAGTCCTGGAAGTGGGAAGTACAATGCCTGCACTCTAAAGGAGGGGTTTCAGGATATTAGCAGTTTGGAGGGATATGTTGTGTATCTTTATACGTATATGCTTCTAAACTGTTGTCTTCTGAGCACCTCTGCAAAAACAGTGATTATGTGTGAGTGAGGTGAAAGTGTTGAATGATGATGAAAGTATTTTCTTTTTGGGGATTTTCTTTCTTTTTGGGTCACCCTGCCTTGGTGGGAGATGGCTGACTTGTTAAAAAAAAAAAAATGCAAAATAAGTCACCATGGACCCCAAGAAAGCTTCTAGTGCCATCCTGTGGTAAAAAGGGCGAGAATTAGTATGGAATTGAAAAAAGAGATTAAGGAAATGTGTACAAAGTGGGTTGAACTGCAAACCTTTATGGATGAAAATCACCCTGACACAGCTACTGCAAGCCATGTTGGCAACCTGTACAATGACAATGTTATGGCCCATTTTAGGAAAGTCTTAAAGGAACGGGAGGTACAGAGCTCTATGGACAGATATGTTGTGCGACAGAGGTCCAGTGACTCTCAAGCTGGTCCTAGTGGCATTAAAAGAAGAAGGGAAGTAACCCCGGAAAAGAACTTGCTACCTAAAGTCCTAATGGAAGGGGATTCCCCTTCTAAACAATAACAACTTCCACACTCTCCCCTCCTCTCATCCCATCAATCATCACCATATCTTCAATAAAGGTAAGTGTCATGTATTCTATTCTTAGTAGAGTAGTAGTGCATGTCTTCTTCAGTTTGTGTGTATTAAAATTAATATTTCATGTGGTAAAAAACTTTTTTTTTCATACTTCGGGTGTCTTGCACAGATTAATTTGATTTCCATTATTTCTCATGGGGAAAATTAATTTGCCTTACGATAATTTCAGCATACGATGAGCTCTCAGGAACGGATTAATATTGTAAGGCTGGGATCCACTGCATATAGAGTTGCCAATTAGTAATATTCTGAGATGCTACTTATGATCAGTAATGTAAATATATGGTGATTAATATTTTTCATTAATTTGAGTTGCCAATTAAAACTTTCCTGAGTTGCTACTTATGAGTAGTACTGCAGATATATGGTGATTCATAGTTTTTATTTAGGGGTGACCTTTTTTAAAAACTGAGAGGAACTAAGGACTTTTTCATTGCTTTAAAAAAAAAAGTTCATCGATTTATGACAGATGTTTTATTTGGAAAAAAAGTAAAAAAGTTATATCCCTAATGTACAAGCATATATATACACACACACCCCTCTGGGTTTTCTTCTATTTTCTTACTAGTTCTTGTTTGTTTCCTCTTATCCATGGGGAAGTGGAACAGAATTCTTCCTCCGTAAGCCGTGTATGTCACAAGAGGAGGCTAAAATGCCATGAGCAAGGGGCTAGTAACCCCTTCTCCTGTATACATTACTAAAGTTAAAAAGAGAAACTTTTGTTTTTCTTTTTGGGCCACCCTGCTTCAGTGAGATACGGCCAGTTTGTTGAAAGAAGATGTATCTATTGTACATTTTTGATGTTGCCTCCATGAGCTCTCCATCCTGGAAATGGCGGCAGTATGTAAAATCTTTCTCACACAATTTAAATGCTTTCATGTGTTTAGTCTTCAGATACTTGTTAGCCTTGTCATACAAGTGAAGCAGTTGACACTCAGCATACACCAAGAAAGAAATTACACTCTGTAAAGAACTGTAAGGACTGCCTTCATGGTAACATCATGTTCTGTCACAAATCAACCTGAACTTATGTACTGCATGTACAGTACATTCAACAAGGCCCCCAACTTGAGACATTAATGTGTTGTTGAAAAGTGTTCATTACTAAAGTGTTTGAAACTCAATCAGTTTTCCCCCCACAGAAAGTTACACTGACACTTCTGTTACAACTGGAGATGCATTCCTGAGCCATTCGTTGATGAATTCAAAGAGTACGTAGAGGCTGAAGCATTTGTCCCCCAACAAGTGCTCAACTGTGATGAAAAAGGCCTCTTTTGAAAGAAAATGCCAAAGAGGACCTACATCACACAGGAGGAAAAGGCACTGCCAGGATACACACCTATGAAGGATAGGCTAACTCTTTTGTTCTGTGGTAATACTAGTGGGGATTTCAAAGTGAAGCCTTTACTGGTGTATCGCTCTGAAAATCCCCAAGTGTTCGAGAAAAACAATGTCATCAAGAGTAAATCGTGTGTGATGTCGAAGGCTAATAATAAGGCATGGGTCATGAGGCAAATTTTCATTGACTTGGTCCATGAAGTGTTTGGCCTGAGTGTGAAAAAATACCTCCAGGAAAATAACTTGCCACTCAAGTGCCTCCTGGTACTGGACAATGCTCCTCCTCATCCTCCAGACTTGGAAGACCAATTGTTTAGAGACTTCAGTTTTATAACAATGAAGTTCTTGCCTCCTAACACCCCTTCTCTCATCCAGCCCATGGACCAGCAGGTCATTTCAAACTTCAAAAAACTCTACATGAAAGAAGTGTTCCAAAGGTGCTTTGAAGTGACCTTGGACACTGAACTGACCCTAAGAGAGTTCTGGAGAAATCACTTCAATATCCTACACTGCATAAGCCTTATAGATAAGGCTTGGCAGGGAGTGACTTCCAGGACTGAACTCTGCTTGGAGAATACTGTGACCAAAATGTGTCCTTGACAAGGATTTTGAAGGGTTCGAGGCTGACCCTGACGACCTTACGCCTGTTGTGGAATCTATTGTGTCTTTAGGGATGTCCATGGGGTTGGAGGTGAGTGGCCAGGATGTGGAAGAGTTTGTGGAAGACCACAGGGAAGCGCTAACCACTGAAGAGCTGCAGGATCTTCAACTGGAACAGCAACAGACCACAGCTGAGGAAATTGCTTCAGAGGAGGAGGAAGAGAGAGGGGAGAAGGTGCCTTCTTCAGTGATTAAGAATATGTGTGCAAAATGGAATGAGTTGCAAACTTTCATGGAAAAATATCACCCTGACCAAGCTGATACAAGCCATATCTGCAACATGTTCAGTGACAATACCATGCCCCATTTAGGCAAATCTTAAAGAGATGCCAGAAACAGAGCTTTCTGGACAGACTTTTAGAGCAACAGGGGTCCAGTGTCAGTTAAAGACAAAGAAGGGAAGTAACCCCGGATAGGGCTTTGATACCTGAAGTCCTTATAGAGGGGGATTCCCTTTCCAAACAATAAGCTCTCCTCTCTCTCCCCTCCTCGCCTTCTTCCATACGCCAACAAGAGTCTTCAATAAAAGTATACAATAGTGATTTAAATGTTCATTTATCCATTTCATTAGAGCTTTATATTTATTTCTCATTGTTTTCTGTATGTAAAACTATAGTTATTCTTTAAAAATGTATTTTTATTAATATTTTTGGGTGGCTGGAACGGATTAATTGTATTTACATTATTTCTTATGGGAAATATCACTTTAGTTTTCGTACGTTTCGGATTTAGATCGACCTTCTGGAATGGATTAAGTACAAAATCCGGAGTTCCACTGTATGTACTAATAAGATATTCAATTATCTTGTATTCATTGTAACTTCTAAATTTATAGTTACACTCACCTAAGAGACTGTATGTATAAAGCCACTCAAATTGTCATTGCCTTATTAATCTTAAGTTTGCTTGAAATGCTCTGTATATTAAGAGGCTTCCTGGATGCACACCTAAATGTTATTCACCTTTGTACAAACACTGTAACATGCTGAAATAAAGTGTCTTATCTTATCTATCTGAACAGTACCCATGGTAAGGTAAATAATGACTACTTTACTACTACGTACTGTAGGTTTGGAGTAAAGGTCTGTCATGCATCCTCATTATTCCAAACCACATTTTCTCTTCCTTGATTTGCTTTGTGGAATGTATCCCTCATGCAAGTTACCATTATGATTTTTTAAGAAGTGTATATTACATTTTAAAACTTCTTTAATTTACCATCAGCGACCACTGTGAGTGTTGTATAAGTGATGTGGTGAGAGACAATGCTGTTCTTAACACTGTGCCTATCCCTTCCATATTGGATGCAGCAGTGAAGCAGTCATGGGCTCGGATCACCAGTTCAACACTCATGCTATGCACTGAAAATAAAAAAGACCTGATTTTTCTTCTGCATTAAAACACATCAGCTGGCTAAGTAATTACCGCACACTAAAATAAAAGAAATAGAAATGACATTGCTGTGGTTGCAGGAGGGAGGGGAGAAAGAGGCACAAATAGGTATCAAGAAAAACATTGGCTAAAAAAATTGTGGTTACAGTTCATGATGAAAACCACATGAACATGGACTTTGCAGACCTCAAAATTTGCCTTATTTACCGTAACTTACTTGTTTAACCCTTAAACTGTCCAAACATAGATATACGTTGACGTGCGGCAGGCTCCGAACGTAGATCTGTTTTCTTTTACATGCTTTCAAATGGGGAAAATCAAGGTTGGAGCGCTACGCAAGTGAACGTAGATCTACGTTTGGACAGCTTAAGGGTTAAATATGCCTCTGCAGTAAAAAGCACATAATTATGGGAACTCGCTACAGTTTAGTACTACAGTAGGACTTCAAGAGCTTATTCTAATATCAACTTCACCTACTGCCACTATACTATTTACCACACTTATACTTGGATAGTGTCAATGTTTTTCAGCGAGGTGCTAATTGAAGTTTATACTCAGATATTGTCAATGTTTTTAAGCGAGGTGCTAACTGAAGTTTTAGTCAGTTGCAATTGGTGGTAGTTGTAATGAGAATTAAAATAAGAAAAACTTAACATCAATCACTTGAAAAATCTGTGTACATACCTTTTTCTACCTGGTCTGGATGTGATGATCCCATACGCTGGCCAATATCCAGTAACTGATTACCTAGCATGGAAGGGTCTTCACACAGTGTGATCAAGTCTTGCCATTGTGTCTCCAGCTCATCCCATAGTAATAATCTATCTCTATGAGTAGTTGCTGGCACATCTGGTACAAAGAATACTAATCAATGATTACTATTTCAATAGTATTCATAACAAACACCTCAGCATTAAAGTTCAAAGGGAAAAGTTAAAAAGTTCATCATAATGAAGAGTACAGTGGAACCTCCACTTACGAGCACATCCACATGCGAGTTTTTCCAGATACAAGCAGTCGCTCAGGCGATTTTTTGCTTCCATAAGTGAGAGCTAAGGAAGGGGTAGCAATAATGTTGAAGGATCGTTATGGAAGGAGAAAAGAGAATATGAATGTGTAAATTCAAGGATTATGTGGATTAAAGTAAAGGTTGGATGCGAAAAGTGGGTCATATTAAGCGTGTATGCACCTGGAGAAGAGAGGAATGTAGAGGAGAGAGATTTTGGGATATGTTAAGTGAATGTTTAGGAACCTTTGAACCAAGTGAGAGAGTAATTGTGGTAGGGGACCTGAATGCTAAAGTTGGAGAAACTTTTAGAGAGGGTGTGGTAGGTAAGTTTGGGGTGCCAGGTGTAAATGATAATGGGAGCCCTTTGATTGAACTTTGTATAGAAAGAGGTTTAGTTATAGGTAATACATATTTTAAGAAAAAGAGGATACATAAGTATACAAGATATGATGTAGGGCAAAATGACAGTAGTTTGTTGGATTATGTATTGGTAGATAAAAGACTGTTGAGTAGACTTCAGGATGTACATGTTTATAGAGGGGCCACAGATATATCAGATCACTTTTTAGTTGTAGCTACACTGAGAGTAAAAGGTAGATGGGATCCAAGGAGAATAGAAGCATCAGGGAAGAGAGAGGTGAAGGTTTATAAACTAAAAGAGGAGGCAGTTAAGGTAAGATATAAACAGCTATTGGAGGATAGATGGGCTAATGAGAGTATAGGCAATGGGGTAGGTTTAAAAATGTACTGTTAGAGTGTTCAGCAGAAGTTTGTGGTTACAGGAAAGTGGGTGCGGGAGGGAAGAGGAGCGATTGGTGGAATGATGTAAAGAGAGTAGTAAGGGAGAAAAAGTTAGCATATGAGAAGTTTTTACAAAGTAGAAGTGATGCAAGGAGGGAAGAGTATATGGAGAAAAAGAGAGAGGTTAAGAGAGTGGTGAAGCAATGTAAAAAGAGAGCAAATGAGAGAGTGAGTGAGATGTTATCAACAAATTTTGTTGAAATTAAGAAAAAGTTTTGGAGTGAGATTAACAAGTTAAGGAAGCCTAGAGAACAAATGGATTTGTCAGTTAAAAATAGGAGAGGAAAGTTATTAAATGGAGAGTTAGAGGTATTGGGAAGATGGAAGGAATGTTTTGAGGAATTGTTAAATGTTGATGAAGATAGGGAAGCTATGATTTCGTGTATAGGGCAAGGAGGAATAACATCTTGTAGGAGTGAGGAAGAGCCAGTTGTGAGTGTGGGGGAAGTTCGTGAGGCAATAGGTAAAATGAAAGGGTGAGGCAGCTGGGTCTGATGGGATAAAGATAGAAATGTTAAAAGCAGGTGGGGATATAGTTTTGGAGCGGTTGGTGCTATTATTTAATAAATGTATGGAAGAGGGTAAGGTACCTAGGGATTGGCAGAGAGCATGCATAGTTCCTTTGTATAAAGGCAAAGGGGACAAAAGCGAGTGCAAAAATTATAGGGGGATAAGTCTGTTGAGTATACCTGGTAAAGTGTATGGTAGAGTTATTATTGAAAGAATTAAAAGTAAGACGGAGAATAGGATAGCAGACGAACAAGGAGGCTTTAGGAAAGGTAGGGGGTGTGTGGACCAGGTGTTTACAGTGAAACATATAAGTGAACAGTATTTAGATAAGGCTAAAGAGGTTTTTGTGGCATTTATGGATTTGGAAAAGGCGTATGACAGGGTGGATACGGGGGCAATGTGGCAGATGTTGCAGGTGTATGGTATAGGAGGTAGGTCACTGAAAGCAGTGAAGAGTTTTTACGAGGATAGTGAGGCTCAAGTTAGAGTATGTAGGAAAGAGGGAAATTATTTCCCAGTAAAAGTAGGCCTTAGACAAGGATGTGTGATGTCACCGTGGTTGTTTAATATATTTATAGATGGGGTTTTAAGAGAAGTAAATGCGAGGGTCTTGGCAAGAGACGTGGAGTTAAAAGATAAAGAATCACACAAAGTGGGAGTTGTCACAGTTGCTCTTTGCTGATGACACTGTGCTCTTGGGAGATTCTGAAGAGAAGTTGCAGAGGTTGGTGGATGAATTTGGTAGGGTGTGCAAAAGAAGAAAATTAAAAGTGAATACAGGAAAGAGTAAGGTTATGAGGATAACAAAAAGATTAGGTGATGAAAGATTGGATATCAGATTGGAGGGAGAGAGTTTGGAGGAGGTGAATGTATTCAGATATTTGGGAGTGGACGTGTCAGCGGATGGGTCTATGAAAGATAAGGTGAATCATAGAAGTGATGAGGGGAAAAGGGTGAGCAGTGCACTTAGGAGTCTGTGGAGACAAAGAACTTTGTCCTTGGAGGTAAAGAGGGGAATGTATGAGAGTATAGTTTTACCAATGCTCTTATATGGGTGTGAAGCATGGGTGATGAATGTTGCAGCAAGGAGAAGGCTGGAGGCAGTGGAGATGTCATGTCTGAGGGCAATGTGTGGTGTGAATATAATGCAGAGAATTCGTAGTTTGGAAGTTAGGAGGAGGTGCGGGATTACCAAAACTGTTGTCCAGAGGGCTGAGGAAGGGTTGTTTAGGTGGTTCGGACATGTAGAGAGAATGGAGCGAAACAGAATGACTTCAAGAGTGTATCAGTCTGTAGTGGAAGGAAGGCGGGGTAGGGGTCGGCCTAGGAAAGGTTGGAGGGAGGGGGTAAAGGAGGTTTTGTGTGCAAGGGGCTTGGACTTCCAGCAGGCATGCTGGAAGTCCAAGTGAATGGAGACAAATGGTTTTTAATACTTGAAGTGCTGTTGGAGTGTGAGCAAAATAACATTTATGAAGGGATTCAGGGAAACCGGCAGGCCGGACTTGAGTCCTGGAGATGGGAAGTACAGTGCCTGCACTCTGAAGGAGGGGTGTTAATGTTGCAGTTTAAAAACTGTAGTGTAAAGCACCCTTCTGGCAAGACAGTGATGGAGTGAATGATGGTGAAAGTTTCTCTTTTTCGGGCCACCCTGCTTGGTGGGAATCGGCCAGTGTGTTAATAAATAATAAATAAAAAAGTGAGAGAAATTTTCAGATGCAAGTGGGCCTCAAGGGAGGTTCTTTAATGCTGGTGAAGGGCTCTTGCTCTTGATCTAGGGAACTGGATCTCAGTTGTTTGTTAGACCATATTATTGAAACTTGGGCAATGTATGATGGAAAGATGCCTCTTAATGTTCACCAAAAATGAAAGAAATCGGACTATAAATAATGGAGTTCACTTCTCAGCCATTAGCCTCCTCTTAGTGGTATATTTTCATATAGTTTTATGGTCGTATTCTCATTTTTTTGGTCTCATTTGATAGAATGGAAGATATACTACAGAAATAGATATGATATTGATCGGTTTCACGACAAAATGTACCTTGAAATTGAGCTCAAAGTAGCAGAAATGTTTGATTCTTTGGTGATGCTCCAGAGTAAACAAGTGACATCACCGTCCAATATTTGTCTGATTGGCACTGCCCCTCAACCCTCACATATTGGAAAGCTCTTCAACACACTAGCAAAAGTGAGAGCTGACATCATGAGGTAGCAGTGACAGACATCATGAAGCAGCAGTGGCAGACATGAAGCAGCAGTGGCAGACTTAAAGCAGCAGTGGCAGACATGAAGCAGCAGTGGCAGACATGAAACAGAAGTGGCAGACATCATGAAGCAGCAGTGACAGACATCATGAGGTAGCAGTGGCAGACAACATGAAGCAGCAGTGGCAGACAACATAAAGCAGCAGTGGCAGACATCATGAAGCAGCAGTGACAGACAACATGAAACAGCAGTAGCAGACAACATGAATCAGCATCGGCAGACTTGAAGCAGCAGTGGCAGACATCATGAAGCAGCAGTGTCAGACCCTGGTAGCAACCTTGTTGTACCCTGGTAGCAACCTTGTACCCTGGTAGCAACTTTGTTGTACCCTGGTAGCAACCTTATTGTACACTGGTAGCAACCTTGTTGTACCCTGGTAGCAACCTTGTTGTACCCTGGTAGCAACCTTGTTGTACCCTGGTAGCAACCTTGTTGTACCCTAGTAGCATTATGAGTGTAGCAATTAAATGTAGCATTGAGAGTGTAGCAATTATAAGTCACTCTGTCTGATTTTTTTGGGTTATCCTAGGTTCTCTACACATGTAGTCAGGAGCAGGAATGTCCACTGTGGTAGCCCTATAAACCCCAACAACAACAATGACCGCTGTCACCACCACTAGCCACATACGTAATGGCATGTATTTTATTCATTCTAAGAGTGTATATATCATGCTTCTATGTTATTATTATTGTTTATTATGTCATAATAGATGAACTGTGATAGATAAATAAGCCGTAGAGTTGATATTAGGGAAATTATTGAAGTATTTTGTCGTGCCTGGAATTCCAATGGAAAAGATTAATTCCATTTCAGTTAATTTAAATGAGAAAAACTGACTCTGCAAATGAGAAAATCCCGATGCAAGCAAGGTCACAGAATGGATGAAACTTGCGAGAGGAGGTTCCACTGTATAGGTGTTGATGGTATTAAATTTGTTTGTCAGCAGAAATGGAAAAATATTTCTTTATAATACAAAACACCGATATGAAAAACAGTACAGAATGGGTCACATAACCAGAGACCAAACAAAACGTTACTCGTCAATCCTAACCAGCCTGATAAGAAGGGCAAAAAAATTGTATTATGAGAACAGATTATCCAACTTACGAGGTGATATAAAAAAGACCTGGAAGACCCTATCAGAAATTCTGGGAACAAAAAAGATATCACGACATAGCGAAATAAAATTAGCAAAATCAGATGAATCCCAACTCCCACCAACAGAAACAGCAAACAGACTCAATGATTTCTTCTCCACTATAGGACAAAACCTTGCCAATAAAATCCCAAGCTCAGATACCCCACCAAATGACTACCTCACTGGCAACTACCCGAACACACTGTTCCTAGCTCCGACTAACCCATACGAAGTCTCCCTTATTATCAACGCACTAAAACTGTTGTCCATAGGGCTGAGGAAGGGTTGTTGAGGTGGTTCGGACATGTGGAGAGAATGGAGCGAAACAGAATAACTTCAAGAGTGTATCAGTCTGTAGTGGAAGGAAGGCGGGGTAGGGGTCGGCCTAGGAAAGGTTGGAGGGAGGGGGTAAAGGAGGTTTTGTGTGCGAGGGGCTTGGACTTCCAGCAGGCATGCGTGAGCGTGTTTGATAGGAGTGAATGGAGACAAATGGTTTTTAATACTTGACGTGCTGTTGGAGTGTGAGCAAAGTAACATTTATGAAGGGGTTCAGGGAAACCGGCAGGCCGGACTTGAGTCCTGGAGATGGGAAGTACAGTGCCTGCACTCTGAAGGAGGGGTGTTAATGTTGCAGTTTAAAAACTGTAGTGTAAAGCACCTTTCTGGCAAGACAGTGATGGAGTGAATGATGGTGAAAGTTTTTCTTTTTCGGGCCACCCTGCCTTGGTGGGAATCGGCCAGTGTGATAATAAATAAAATAATAAAAAAACAAGGCAGGAGATTTAAATACCTTACCACCCTTTATATACAAAAAAGTGTCACAAGTGCTATCACCAATCATTGCAACACTCTTTAACAAATCCATTGAATCGTCCACCTTCCCTACAGTTTTCAAAATAGCAAGGGTCGCCCCGATCCATAAAGGAGGAGACCAAACAGAGTTGAATAACTATAGGCCAATATCCAATTTACACCCTCTCTCAAAAATCTTCGAAAAATTAATTCATAAACGAATCTACTCCTACCTCATCTCCCAAAACATACTCAACCCCTGCCAATTTGGATTCAGGCCTAATAAAAATACTAATGATGCTATTATACACATGCTAGAACATATACACACTGCAATAGAGAAAAAAGAAGTCCCACTGGGGATCTTCATTGACTTACGTAAAGCTTTTGATACAGTTGACCATGACTTGCTCCACATAAAATTGTCACACTATGGTATAAGAGGGCACTCCCTCAACTACCTCAAGTCATACCTCAGCAACAGAAGCCGATGTGTGTATGCAAATGGGACAAACTCTTCCGCACAACCAATTACAGTTGGTGTCCCACAGGGAAGTGTCCTTGGCCCTCTTCTCTTTCTCCTATACATAAATGACCTACCAAATGCTTCGCAATTACTCATACCCACACTATTTGCAGATGACACTACATACGTCTTCTCTCACCTGAGCCCAGTCATGCTAGCCAATACTGTAAATACCGAATTACAGAAAATATCTACCTGGATGAGGACTAACAAACTTACACTAAACATTGACAAAACCTACTTCATTCAGTTTGGTAACAGAGCTACAGATGTCCCTCTTAACATAATGATAAACGGATCACCTATCACAAAGCTAACAGAGGGAACATTCTTAGGAATCCACCTTGATAATAGACTCAAATTTCATACACATATACAACAAATTTCTAAGAAAATTTCCAAGACTGTAGGCATACTATCGAAGATACGGTACTATGTTCCACAGTCAGCCCTCCTGGCCCTATATCACTCTCTTATTTACCCCTATCTCACCTATGGAATTTGTGCATGGGGCTCAACAACAATTAACCATCTCAGACCACTAATTACCCAACAAAAGGCTGCAGTCAGAATGATAACAAATTCCCACTACAGGCAGCACACTCCACCAATATTCAAAACACTAAACCTACTCACCATACAAAACATCCATACTTATTACTGTACCTATTACATACATAGAACACTTAACTCTGATATTAACCCTCCCCTCAAACATCTCCTTGCCAACCTCAACAGAACACATGACCGTAACACAAAGCACAGATCACTCTTTGATGTTCCTCGTGTCCACCTCACGCTATGCAAAAACTCAATGCACATAAAAGGCCCTAAAATCTGGAATTCATTACCTGTAAATATAAAAGAAACACTACCTGTTTATAAATTCAAGTCTCTTCTCAAAGATCACTTACTCACCCAAAACCAAATAAATACTGAATAACTGAACCTTATAAATTGTATATCTTAAATGTTTGTCACAATTATATCACATAAATGTTAAACCTAAGACCCAATCTAACTTTGTTATTTTTTAAATACACTACCTAACAGAATACTCCATTCTACTGAATGTACAGCAATGCAAGCAACCATATGACCTGTCTTTGTAATACTCATTTGTGCTTTATAGTTATCTGTTTACAATAATGTTTTATCACTGATTACATCATTGCTTAGTTAATCTTAAGTTAATTTTAAGCCAGCCCGTAATGCTATGCATACAAGTAGCTTTGGCATGCTGCTCTTACCTGTATTTTTTTTGTACCTCTGTATGTATGTTCAAATTACTAAATAAATAAAAAAATAAATAAATAAATAAAGGTCTTAGTCATGTGATAACCCACCCAATGAGTTTATGATTAAGAGACCCCTCACTGGGATCATGGCAGCCTTCTCCTTGAAGGGTGAATGATGCATTACCAAAGATAGGTGCACAAAAAATATGGACATTTAGAAGGATGCAAACAATAATAATAATAATAATAATAAGTTAAAAGATAAAGAATCACACATAAAGTGGGAGTTGTCACAGTTGCTCTTTGCTGATGACACTGTGCTCTTGGGAGATTCTGAAGAGAAGTTGCAGAGATTGGTGGATGAATTTGGTAGGGTGTGCAAAAGAAGAAAATTAAAAGTGAATACAGGAAAGAGTAAGGTAATGAGGATAACAAAAAGATTAGGTGATGAAAGATTGGATATCAGATTGGAGGGAGAGAGTTTGGAGGAGGTGAATGTATTCAGATATTTGGAAGTGGACATGTCAGCGGATGGGTCTATGAAAGATGAGGTGAATCATAGAATTGATGAGGGGAAAAGGGTGAGTGGTGCACTTAGGAGTCTGTGGAGACAAAGAACTTTGTCCTTGGAGGCAAAGAGGGGAAAGTATGAGAGTATAGTTTTACCAACGCTCTTATATGGGTGTGAAGCATGGGTGATGAATGTTGCAGCAAGGAGAAGGCTGGAGGCAGTGGAGATGTCATGTCTGAGGGCAATGTGTGGTGTGAATATAATGCAGAGAATTCGTAGTTTGGAAGTTAGGAGGAGGTGCAGGATTACCAAAACTGTTATCCAGAGGGCTGAGGAAGGGTTGTTGAGGTGGTTCGGACATGTAGAGAGAATGGAGCGAAACAGAGTGACTTCAAGAGTGTATCAGTCTGTAGTGGAAGGAAGGCGGGGTAGGGGTCGGCCTAGGAAAGGTTGGAGGGAGGGGGTAAAGGAGGTTTTGTGTGCGAGGGGCTTGGACTTCCAGCGGGCATGCGTGAGCGTGTTTGATAGGAGTGAATGGAGACAAATGGTTTTTAATACTTGACGTGCTGTTGGAGTGTGAGCAAAGTAACATTTATGAAGGGATACAGGGAAACCGGCAGGCCGGACTTGAGTCCTGGAGATGGGAAGTACAGTGTCTGCACTCTGAAGGAGGGGTGTTAATGTTGCAGTTTAAAAACTGTAGTGTAAAGCACCCTTCTGGCAAGACAGTGATGGAGTGAATGATGGTGAAAGTTTTTCTTTTTCGAGCCACTCTGCCTTGGTGGGAATCGGCCAGTGTGATAATAAATAATAATAATAAAACAGCTCTTTTTAGCACACTGTCCATTTCCCAGCAGGGTAAGGTGACCACCCCTACCAAAAAAAAAAAAAAAAAAAATAAAACACATTCAACAGCTGTCTTGCCAGAGCTATGTAGACATTACAATTCAAATGACCCTCTGAAGTGCAACATCTCCATGCCTCCTTAAGTGTTTGAAGCATGCCTGCTAGTTTTAATGTGAATGTTTTAAGAAACTTTATATTAGCAGTTTGGCAGTCTATGTTTTTTCCAGTTCTATATCAGTTACAATATTAAGGTACAGTATATGAAAACCCTTTGGTGAGGAATGCATAAACAAGAGAATAAAGTCACTAAGTATCTTATTAATAGCAGAATATTTGAAGTTGTTTCTAAAATTAACACATACCAGGTCCAGCTGTAACAGTAGCCACTGCTTCTTCACACAAAAAATTCAAAACAGCACTTTGAGGCACAGGAAAAGCATGAATAAATTCCCGAGCCAGCTGGATAACACCACATCTTTTGAGCCTTAGAACCATAGATACAAGCTGTAAAGAAAAAGAAACAACTGAATCCAAGTTAATAACAAATGATAAATTGCAACTTTAGGATGTACTGTATCCAGTTTTACCAACTGCACTTTTAACAAAGTAGAAAGAAGAGTGACAAAGCCTAAATTTGAAAAATCTCTTCCAAATAGAAATTCTTTCCACATGATACAAGAACAGCTCTTCAAGAATCTGCACCCAACCTACCAGCAGGTATTGATGAAGTGATATGATGCATACTCAACAGATTGGTTGAGCGTGGTCAAAACAGACTCTCCTGCTTCATTTACATCAACTTATCCAAGTGTGTTGGCCACAGATGAGTCACAGCTCAAGTATAGGAGTATATCCTTAATCCTACTTTAGTCTTTGTGTGCATTTCTAATTTGTAGTCTATGAGAACCTGGACTTTTACATGTACAGTAGACCCTGCATATACAGCACCTATTTTCAGTGTTCCATGTTTTCGTTGGCTTTCAAGTGAGCCAGTGTTCCACCCGGCAGTGACAACTGGTGGCAGGTGGAACACAATGAACTATGGCTCAATTTGAAGCACCGAATTTGAACACCAAAGCTCAATTTGAACACCAAAAAGAAGGTGCTGTATGTGTAGGGCCCTCCTGTAATATTGAATCTGGAACAGTAGGCAGCTTTTGACTATCACCAGATCATCTTCAAAAGAGCAAAAGCACCATGTAAAATTAACTCAGTAAATTCATCATGTAGTATTTCACAAAGCACTAAACTTGTGGGGGTGTTATTTACGAATGAGAGATGTCTGGAGTATTAGTGGTAAGGTACACAAGCTCTACTCAGCTTCCAACAAGTGATGAAAAAAACATTTTGGAAAAACAAGGTACAGTACTGAATTTAATATTTTAAGCCTGAAAATACTTACTGCAATGGGGTTAGGGTGATGTACAAGATAGAGATATGAGAGATCCAAAGAAGCTGCAACTTTATACAGTATAACAATCCTTTCAGCAGTTTTCTTGCCCACTGTCAGTTCTGTAAATCATAACTATGTAAACAAATAAAAAACATTCATAAACACAGAAAATAAACCAACATATTAAAGGTGTCACAGAATTTAAGTTATATTTTCTCACATACACACGTTGGCTCACCTCATAGGTTATTCCTCTTGCTCACCAACAAATTCATACACACTCAGTACCACTTCCCCATTACCCATTCAGTCTGCATGAACATATTTATGAAGGAACACAAGCACAGCAAATTCACATTCAATATTTTCCTTAATTTACACCAAGGTCTTCAACTATGGATGGATGCACTTACCCTAGATGAAAGAGTACAGAAACAATATACAGTGGACCCCCGCATAACGATGGCATCACATAGCGATTATTTCGCATACCGCTTACTTTAATCGCAAAATTTTTGCCGCGCATACCGATTAAAAACCCGCTCACCGATTTTCGTCCGAGACGCGTCCAATGTGCGCCCTCAGCCAGCCTCACATGTGCCGCCCGTGCCATTGTTTACCAGCCAGCCTCCGCGCTAACATCCAAGCATACACTCGGAATATTTCGTATTATTACAGTGTTTTCGGTGCTGTTTCTGGAAAATAAGTGACCATGGGCCCCAATAAAGCTTCTAGTGCCAACCGTACACCAATAAGGGTAAGAATACCCATTGAAATGAAGAAAGAGATCATTGATAAGTATGAAAGTGGAGTGCGTATCGCCGACCTAGTCAAGTTGTACAAGAAACCCCAATCAACCATCGCTACTATTGTGGGCACCAAAAAGACAATCAAGGAAGCTGTTCTTGCCAAAGGTTTAACTGTGTTTTCGAAACAAAGATCGCAAGTGATGGAAGATGTTGAGAGACTCTTATTGGTGTGGATAAATGAAAAACAGCTAGCAGGAGATAGTGTCTCTCAAGCGATCATATGTGAAAAGGCTAGGAAGTTGCATGACGATTTAATTAAAAAAATGCCTGCAACTAGTGATGATGTGAGTGAATTTAAGGCCAGCAAAGGTTGGTTTGAGAGATTTAAGAAGCGTAGTGGCATCCATAGTGTGATAAGGCATGATGAGGCTGCCAGTTCGGACCACAAAGCGGCTGAAAAATATGTGCAGGAATTCAAGGAGTACATAGAAACTGAAGGACTGAAACCTGAACAAGTGTTTAATTGTGATGAAACAGGCCTGTTCTGGAAGAAAATGCCAAGCAGGACCTACATTACTCAGGAGGAAAAGGCACTCCCAGGACATAAGCCTATGAAAGACAGGCTTACTCTTCTCATGTGTGCCAATGCTACTGGTGATTGCAAAGTGAAGCCTTTATTAGTGTATCACTCTGAAACTCCCAGAGCATTCAGGCAAAAGAATGTCCTCAAGGATAATTTGTGTGTGCTGTGGAGGGCAAACAGTAAGGCATGGGTCACTAGGGAATTTTTCTATAACTGGTTACACCATGCATTTGCCCCCAATGTGAAAGATTACCTAACTGAAAAGAAATTAGAACTTAAGTGCCTCCTGGTGTTAGACAATGCCCCTGGTCATCCTACAGACGTGGCAGAGCGACTTTATGGGGACATGAGCTTCATTAAGGTGAAGTTTTTGCCTCCTAATACCACTCCTCTCCTGCAGCCCATGGACCAGCAGGTTATTTCCAACTTCAAGAAACTGTACACAAAAGCTCTGTTTGAAAGGTGCTTTGTAATGACCTCAGAAACTCAACTGACTCTAAGAGAGTTTTGGAGAGATCACTTTAATATCCTCAATTGTGTAAACCTTATAGGTAAGGCTTGGGAGGAAGTGACTAAGAGGACCTTGAACTCTGCTTGGAAGAAACTGTGGCCAGAATGTGTAGACAAAAGGGATTTTGAAGGGTTTGAGGCTAACCCTGAGAATCCTGTGCCAGTTGAGGAATCCATTGTGGCATTGGGAAAGTCCTTGGGGTTGGAGGTTAGTGGGGAGGATGTGGAAGAGTTGGTGGAGGAGGACAATGAAGAACTAACCACTGATGAGCTGATAGATCAACTTCAAGAGCAAGAGGCCAGACCTGGGGAAACTGGTTCAGAGGAGGGGAGAGAGAAATTGAAGAAGTTGCCTACTACAAAGATAAAGGAAATCTGTGCAAAGTGGCTTGAAGTGCAAACCTTCATGGATGAAAATCACCCTCACACAGCTATTGCAAGCCGTGTTGGCAACCTGTACACTGACAATGTTGTGAAACACTTTAGGGAAGTGATAAAGGAACGAGAGGTACAGGCCACTATGGACAGATATCTTGTGCGAAAGAAGTCCAGTGACTCTGAAGCTGGCCCTAGTGGCATTAAAAGAAGAAGGGAAGTAACCCCAGAAAAGGACTTGCTACCTCAAGTCCTAATGGAAGGGGATTCCCCTTCTAAACAGTAAGAAGATAATGCTCTCCCCTCCTCCCATCCCATCAATCATCACCAGATCTTCAATAAAAGTAAGTGTCATGTAAGTGTGCATGCCTTTTTCAGTTTGTGTGTATTAAAATTAATATTTCATGTGGTAAAAAAAAACTTTTTTTCATACTTTTGGGTGTCTTGCACGGATTAATTTTATTTCCATTATTTCTTATGGGGAAAATTCATTCACATAACGATTATTTCGCATAACAATTACCCCTCTTGCACGGATTAAAATCATTAACCGGGGGTCCACTGTATAATATTTCACCTTACCTGGGATGTAACACTTAATTTTAACATTATACAAAATTATATGTATCCATAAAATTTCTTCTATCATGCACAATTCCTTCCTTGTTCTATATTTATTCAATTTATTCTGGCCTCCCTGAACGCCATTGTTAACGAAGAGCTAGTAAAAATATCGACCTGGACGACTGCTAATAAACTTAAACTTAATATTGACAAAACCTTCTATAATATGTTTGGGAACAGAACAGGTGTTGCTCAGCTTAACATTATGTTTAATAACACTCTTATTGCTAAACATAATGAGGGCAAATTCCTGGGCCTGCACCCTGACAGCAACCTGAAATTTAACACCCATATCCAACATATAACAAAAAAAGTATCCAAAACAGCTGGGATCCTCTCCAAGATACGTTACTATGTGCCACAATCAGCCCTACTCACACTATACAATTCACTCATCTAACCCTACCTTACCTATGCTATTTCTGCCTGGGGATCAACAGCAGCAACCTACCTAAAGCCAATAATAACCCAACAAAGAGCCACAGTAAGAATTTTCACACAATCCAATGCTAGGCAACACACCCCCACACTCTTACTCACTGTACAACTTACATTTACAGAACCATAAATTCTAATATTAACCTTGAACTAAAATGTTTTCTTGATAGTTACGTCAGGACCCATAGACACAATACCAGATACAAAAATCTCTATGACATTCCTCGTGTCAGCCTAAATCTCTACAAAAATTTGATTTACAGGTCTCCCTCAACATTCACGTTTTCCACTTTCGCTGGCTTCGAACACTCATGAATTCCCAGCTGCCCAATCATATTTAAAATATGTCAATGCATATGTTAGGAATTGTGGCAGTAGCAGAGTTTGTTAGGAGATGACAAGATAGTCCTTCAATATGACATTAATATCAACTCTGCAGCTTATTTATAGATCAAAATTCATCTAATATGACATAATAAACAATATTAATAACATAAAAACATGACATATATTCTAGAATGAATAAAATACGTCATTAAGTATGTCACGAGTGTTGCTGTGTTGTTGTTGTTGGGTGTAAAAGGGCCACTGAGACATGAGCCGTACATAGTGGTGGTGGAGGCGGCATCAGAGGTAGAGACCGGAGACGGTGGTGTTGTCAGTCGCCCTACATAACTCCAACAACATTGGAGGAGTTGGGTTCGTGCTGTCCTTTTTCTATCAATTAATCACTTAACTTACTTGCTACACTGCTAATGCCACACTTTATTGCTGGCTGGTGCTATAGCCTTTATCAACTTATGCTGCTATAGTATCGTACATATCGAGGAATCACTGAAGAAGGCACATTCTCTCCTCTCTCTTCCTCCTCCACTTTGGTACTCTGCTACGAGTTCTTTCTTGAATTCTTTAGTTCTTCTCACCTTCTTTACCAAAGGGCTGGCACTAGTACAATATTTTACGATGTTTTCATGTGTTTTATGATTGTTCATGGTTCAATAGGTTAAGGAAGCAGTATTGTATTATATTTCCCTTCAATAAATTGGGGCACCAAACATTCACAATTTTTCAACATTTGTGAGGGTCTTGATCCCCTAACCCTCATGAATGTTGAGGGAGGCCTGTACATAAAAGAACCTAAAATCTGTAACTCCCTGCCTGAAAACTCTAGAACTGCAGACTCAACCACCAATTTCAAAACTACCATTAAAAAACATCTTATCTCCCTAACAAACCCCATCATCAGCTAACTAGTACAGTGGACCCTCGACCAACGGCATTAATCCGTTCCAGAGAGTTAGCCATTAGCCGAATTTGCTGTTGGTCAAATTAATTTTCCCCATAAGAAATAATGAAAATCCAATTAATCCGTTCCAGACAGCCAAAAGTATTAAAAAAAATAATTTTTCTTCTACATGAAATATACATTTCCCTACACAGAAAACAATTAGACATGCACAATACACACATAAATAAATACTAAAATGACACTTACCTTTATTGAAGAGTACTGTTGAGTGATGAGACACTGTTTTTCTTGAACACTCTGGGATTTTCACAGTGATACATGAGTAAAGGCTTCACTTTACAATCCCCACTAGCATTACAACAAAACAGCAACGGAACGGAATCAGCAAGAGATCCTATTGGGGCAAGTGTTCCACAAGGAAGCGTGCTGGGACCATTGTTATGGAATGTCTACTTCAACGACCTCCTTCATCTCATCCCAGAATCCCATGCATATGCAGACGACTGTACACTGACATTCACTTATCCAAGAGAAGAAATGCCAGCTGCTCTAAGCTACATCAATCACCAGCTAAGAGCTATATCAGCTTGG